AGGGTATCAGAATGGTAATGTGGTTACTTGGGGATTGAAGGAGGGGGGGCAGGAATTGACACTTAAAGAGATAGAAATCATTTAATGGCCATAAAGAATTTAAAACCAAAATCTCCACTAAAAAAAAAACCACAATATTTCATCGGATACAAATTTTAAAGAATATTTTCTAAAACTTTCTTAAAAGTTTGTCATTTGTGAACATAAAAATTCATTAAAAAGTTTTATGGTAATGCCTGGTCAATGACAAAATATAGGGGATTAGAAATTCTCTGCAAAACCTCTGGAAACAAATACCTTCAGGATGAACACCCTATTTTCCTCGGACAATATCAAAGCATAGGTACAAAAATAGAATGGTATGGTAATTGTATTATAAATTAAGAGAAAACAAATTTCTTGATATATCAGCACGACAGACACAAGAACAATAACAACAAGATACGTCAACAAAATCATAGCATAAATTATTTCCTGATTTCAAGAGGTTAACTGTGAAACATACCCCTGTATAGCGCCAAATACTGCCCAGGGTAATATTCAGCCTTCACCAGTAAAATAACTATTCACCCATCAAATTTCAACCTTCACATTTGAAATACTACATATTTATTGTAAACTGTGTTATACTCATACCTTTTGTCCTCATTACGGAGGGTGGAAAGGGGCAAATTTAAACTTTGGTGCACATTTCCCAGAATATATATACACTATATAGTAAAATATACACATCACTTGGTTAAATAATCTGGCATAAGGTAGTCACAGTGAACAACAATACACAACATATACACATTATTACAATTCAACATACAAAAAAACAGGGTGAAAATAATCATATACACTAGCCCGGTGAATGAAATTATGTGTCTTGTTCTTGTGTATATTACATGTCTTGTTATTAATAATGAGAAGAAGTGACCATGACAACATCAACTGGGATATCAGCAAGTTTAGTCACGTGTTTATATGTTTCGGCCCACTAGGTGGGTCGTCACCCTGTCTTGTTGTTAGATTATTACATGTGTATAATGTTTATTGCACATGTCTTGTTCGTGTGTACCCGTATAATTCATGTCTTGTGTATAGTACATGTGTCTGGTATATATTACATATGTCTTGTCTCATTGTAAAGTCTAATATTTAAAAGTTTCTTGTTGTTGTGTATATTACATGAGTCTTCTGTTTGTGTTTTGTATAAATTATATGTGTCTTGAGAATAATACATGTGTATTGTGTATTTTACATGTGTCTTGTGTATATAACATGTGTCTTGTGTATATAGCATGTGTCTTGTGTATATAGCATGTGTCTTGTGTATATTTCATGTGTCTTGTGTGTGTTCCATGTGTCTTGTGTATATAGCATGTGTCTTGTGTATATTTAAGTGTCTTGTGTGTGTTACATGTGTCTTGATGAATGAGCTGGAAAATATAACAATATTTGATCATTACTATGATCATTTGGTATCACCACTCCATCCACAACCATTAGACATGAAGCATAAACAATTTCAACACATGTTAACATTAACATCAGACTTATATTTACAGCAGTGTACAAAAACCCAACATGTTATTGATAAAACATATTCCAATTAAACCATATGGTCAATTAATGAGAAAAGAAAGAGGTTAATTTTTATGAATACATCTGTGAACAAAGTTCTGATTACAAAGACTCATTGTATAGCAATAGAAAAGTAGGAATATATCAATAATCAGAACATATGTCAATAGTGTGCGGTTCAATTAACTGAAAACTCCAGCACAAAAAAAATAACAAAATACATCTTTGTCTTACCAAAGACAAAACTCACAATATAACTCTATATCAAGCTGCATAACTCAAGTCTGACGACTCCATGCAAGTTTTACTCCTCAGCAAAGGTAAACATAATGTACGAACTTGTGCGTCTATAAAATGAAAAAAAGAATTGCAATAAAGATTTTATATGAAGGCACATATTACTAACAATGTACATAAAAAGTGTACAGATCTAGTTCTCTGGGCCTTACTCAATGCTTGGTCATCTTAATCCAAAGTGAATGCTCAATTTTAATCAAATATATGTTTTTTAAAGACTAAAACTTGTTTAGTTTGTATGTGCTTGACGTCCTATTAACAGCTACGATCGTTTAAGGGTGAGACTGGTTATGGGGTGAAGGAAAGCTGGAGTACCTGCGGCCAGTACCTGGTGACTGCCCCAAACCTCGAACCTGTGACCAGGGGTAGAGGGCTAGCGATCATAAACAGTCATACGCCTTAACCCCTAAACTACTGCCTAGACTGAAATTATAACTAATATATAGAATGATTCAGAATGATTCTCTGGTGACAAGAAACACAAAAACATTTGGGTTTTTTTTATACTTTTTAAAAATTACATGTGAAAAATTTGCATTTAGAACTTGTTAAGATAATCAGACCTTGAAAAACCCAGCCCTGGTGTTGATTACAGCAAACTTTAAACAATTACATTAAACTTTACAAGTCTTATTTTTTACCCCTGAAATATCAAATTTTAAGGGAATTAAAATTGCTGTTACTGATAAATGAAAATGTCCATTATAGCTTACTTGGTAGGTTTCAAAATATCACATCTGTGATTAAAATTGATTAAAATGTATACATTTTTCTTTTTTAAAAGAAAATTTCTATTAAAATAAATAAGAATGCATATTTCTAATTACTCACTACAAAATATTAACTTATATAAACTTACATCTCATAGACAAAAACAACTTGGGTAGCCAGTTACACAGAACATATATACACATACAGTACCGTACAGCGAAACCTCATCACCCTGGACAATATGGTTCCTGATTAAAAGTTCGTAAAAACAAATTTTCCAGATTACAGATTCTAGATATTGAATGAAACAGTTACTGTCACTAACAAATTCATTTACTATATATTTGGTTTGTTTATGGTCATTAAAGGACGTGCCAGGTTTTGGTGGAGGAGGAAAGCCGGAATTCCCGTGGTAAAACCACAAAGCTATGACCAGAAACCTGATGACTGCACCATGTAGGCCTCGAACCTGCGACCCAGTGGTGGAGGGCTAGTGGTAACAGAATGTCAGACTGTAAATACCATTACGAAAGTCTGATGGGTTAACATAAGTGTCCAGATAGATAAGGTTCCACCGTACTGCTGGGAAATTCTATGTATTGACATGATCATACAGAAATGTTGTCCACAACAACCAATTTAAGCAGAATCACAGATTAATGTTAATGATATGACTGAATCTCAGCAGCACCATTCTTCAAATGCACCATAAACACAAAGTTCATCTTGTGTGAGAAATCCTCTCATCATACCCATATTCTCCTCGTGAAAGAAAGATATCCCTCTCATGACGATAATGAAGACACAATTTCTCTTCTTGATATGGACACCTTTCTTCACTTGAACCCACTCTACGCACTCCACACTATGTTTTATTTCTCACATTGAGATAACTGTTGATCAACTCTCTGTTTGAGATAACTGTTGATCAATTCTCTATTTTAGGTAACACTTGATCAACTTTCTATTTTAGATAAATGTTGATCTCTCTCTGAGATAAATGTCGATCAACACTCTATTTGAGATAACTGTTGATTAACTCTATTTGAGATAACTGTTAATCAACTCTCTCTCTGAGGTAACTGTTGATCAACTCTCTATTTTAGATAAATGTTTTTTATCTCTCTGAGATAAATGTCGATCAACTCTATTTGAGATAACTGTTGATCAGCTCGCTCTCTCTCTCTCTGAGGTAACTGTTGATCAACTCTCTATTTAAGATAAATGTTTCTCTCTCTCTGAGATAATTGTTGATCAACTCTCTATTTGAGATAACTATCGCTCACAGTTCCCATACTAGCGTCTATTTTCTGGAACTGTGTGGAGATTTTGTCCAAAATGTCATCAATGTGACTTCCATCACCAGAAACATCACTCACAGATCTCCTGCAAATACAAAACAAAAATCTGATTCAAAGTTTGTACACTCTTTTTTTTTATTACCAGGGTATTTGGTTTAATTGGACTATCATACAAATCAAAAGCAACTCTTCATGGAAATCCTCCTTAAACATGATTGATGTTTGTTAGTTAGCCCAGTGAGTTCAAGACTTCTGAAGTAGGTGGTCAAGGGCTTATGGTTCATGGCTCATAGCCCTGCCGGGTGTGTGTGTGGGAGGGGGGGGGGTACACAGAGGGCCTAGACATTTTTTGAAATTAATGATGCCAGGAGGTGAGATGTGCATTTTAAGCATGAACAAGAGTACCGCGGGGCGGAACAATATACACCCGTCGAATCACTCATGTATTACATGGTTAGTCAGAGGTTATATTTATATGCAATTGGACAAAATCTTGTCATTCCTAAAACAAGAGGTCCATAGGGCCTGTATCGCTCACCTGGATATCTAAGCAATCATGGCAAAATATTCTCCAAATGAGATCCAGGGGAATATGCCAGACCCCAATGCCAATTCTTGTAGTATGTCTGTATTAGATTTGTCATGCCCAGCAATTTAATGTATGGTTATGTGGTGGGGATCTCAACTGTTTCCAAGCTGTGACTCAGAAACTAGATCCCTAGGGTTGTGGCCAGACCCCAGGATCAATTCTAATATCATGACCGCATTTGTCTCTTTTTATCCAGCATTTGTATTTATAGTCTTGGGGTGGGGATCTCAACCGTTTCAAAGTTATGACCCATGGGTTAAGTCTGCAAGGGTAGGCATTCGTCTCTTCATGCCCAACAATTGTATATATAGTTCTGGAGTGGGGATCACAACCGTTTCAAAGTTATGACCCAGGGACTTTGTCTCAAAGGGTGGGGCCAGACCCTAGGCCATCCTGGAAGCAAATGTGCATGCTTCTCTTTATACTCCACAATTGTATATATGGTTATACCGTGGGGATCTCAACCATTTTCAAGTAATAAACATTTGTTGGCCCCACCCCTTAGCACAGGGGGGTCAGCCCAACCATTTGTACAAATTTGATCCCTGCTTCCCATGAATGCTTCTGACCAAATATGATCAATATACATGGCATAATTCTACAAAGAAAGTTTTTTATAGCAATATAGCCAAATTGCCCCCTTTTGGCCTCACCCCTCAGCCCCCTGGGGGGTCAGCCTAACCATTTGTACAATTTTGAATCCCAACCACCTAGGGATGCACCCAGTCAAATATGGTTGATAACCAGTGCATAGTTCTACAGAAGTCGTTTGTAGCAATATAGCCAAATTGCCCCCCTTTTGGCCCCGCCCCTCAGCCATCTGGGGGGTCAGCCCAGCCATTTGTACAATTTTGAATCCCCACCACCTAGGGATGCATCCAGTCAAATATGGTTGATAACCAGTGCATAGTTCTACAGAAGTCGTTTGTAGCAATATAGCCATATTGCCTACTTTTGGCCTCGCCCCTCAGCCCCCCGGGGGGTTCAGCCCAACCATTTGTACAATTTTGAATCTCCACTAACGAGGGATGCTTCCAGTCAAATATGGTTGATATCCATCTCTTAGTTCCAGAGAAGAAGTCGCTTAAATTAATATACCCCCGTTAGCCCAATTGCCCCCTTTTGGCCCCACCCCTCAGGCCCCTGGGGGGCAGACCCACGGTTTATACAAAATTGGTTCCCCATCACCGAATGATGCTTCAGACTAAATATAGAACAAATCTTTTCATTCCTACAGAAGAAAAAGGATTTTAAATAATTTGCTATATTTCCCCTATTGGGCCCCGCCCCTCAGTCCCCAGGGGGGCCAGACCCACCATTTATACAAAATGTGTTCCCTTTCCCCTAAGGATGCTTCTGACCAAATTTGGTCATAATCTGCTAAGTGGTTTATGACTAGTAGCGATTTTTAGGAAAAGTTGACGGACAACGGATAGGCAGGTGAGCTAATAAAAGAAGGATTTAGAAGAATTTGCTATGATTCCCCTATTGGGCTCCGCCCCTCTGTCCCCAATATTCCAATATTGGATCATAATGTCATTATTACTGATGAGACCTATATACCTACAATACATATGTCTTATTACCCAATACACAGGTATATCTACCTTAGGTACAGGTATCACTTTACTGAATACACATACATTTTAGATAATACACGCCAGGTATGTAAATGCTACGGTTTATAAACACAACCTACACTGACCTAGTACACCATCTATTGCTTTATTATCACTGTTTGTCTGTCGGTAACCTCGCTCAACAGGGAAGTTACTTAGTCTGCACACCTGCAGGTCTTAGCAGGTTAATCCACGCATTAAACTGGATTTGTGTACACAGAGCAGACATTTGTTGATATAACTTACAAGTTAGATTTCAGCCAAACATATGACTTCCAGGTTTTGATCAAACCTTTTACAATGTCAGCAGGAAAGTGACAGATTTATCAACAAAGCTACAGGTCATCATGTGATTGTGAATCGCAGGGTTGGATAACTATTGACAATGCAAGTGAACATTGAGGAGTGTGGAATGGAAAACTTGAATTCATCATCACAGTAACCCTGTGACATCAGTGAGCGTGAGGTAGTTATTTCATATTATTTTTCACATGACTATGTGGTAAAGTTTTCATTTTTTTACAAAACAAACTCTTATTTGTGAGTGTTTACCGATACCAATATATATTTATACAAGAACAACAAACTTCTTCAAGTTTTCAACAAATAATTTAGCTTTTTATCAAAATGGCAACCCCTATAAGCCAAATACCTCTCCGTATAAAAGGTCAAACGACATGTATTCACCACAACGGGAGACAGCTAGAATTTTATTGTGAAAAATGTCAGGAACTGGTTTGTCCAAAATGCCTTTCTTCTATTCACAAAACCCATCCACTTTGTGAGCTAAGTGAAATCACTCCTAAGAAAGAACTAGACATTAAAAACTTTATAGACAGAACAGAAAAAAATGACCTTGTGCAAATTGGGAAATATGTCACCGCTACTGATACGCTCCTTAAAGACAACACCAGTACCTTTGAGAAGCTGTCAAAAAAGTTAAAAATGCAAACAGATAAATTAAAACAAGAGCTGGACATACTTACAGAACAGACACTCTCTCTTTACCACAAAATGGAAGAGGATAATACCAAGCTGATAAGGAAATACAAACAGGACCTGGAGATGTACGAGAAGCAACTCAAACAACAAATTCAAGAATGTAAAGCCGCTCTCCAGCGTGGTTCACACATACAGATTTATGATACATATTGTGAGATCCAGTCTCCTTCACACAGTCTCCCTGTCAAACCTGTCCTGGGTACTGCCAACTTCACTCCAAATGAAAATCCTCAAGATCAGTTGAAAAAAGCCTTGGGAAAAGTTACCACGTCAGGTCAAGGTCAAACTTTAACTGGCCAGGAACGGTCAGCCTCAATATCTGATAATCTGGGACAACCATCTGCACAACAACTACGGTCAGGAACAAAAGTGAAGAAAGCAGTGACAGCATACAAACTACTGCCGCAGACCAAGGTAGTGGAGGAGTGGAAGTCTCCATGTGACATTGATTCTGTATGTCCCACCACTGATGGTCAGGTGTGGACCACGGACAGTAATACAATAACTCTCCTGGACAGGAAGGGTAAAGTAATACAAAAGGTCAGCCACAATGTCGGGATCAATGACATCAGTCTGTCACCCACCACAAACACACTGTGGGTCTGTGATGATAAAAACAACATCATGGAGCTGGTATCAGGACGACTGACACACAGATTCCATACCAAGGAGTTTCCCTTTTGTATATGTGTTACAGCCAGTAGCCATGTCATTGTAGGGATGACCAAACACATCTCAAAATTTACCACAAAAGGTAAAATGGTGTGTACTACTATGGCTAAAGGGACTAGGAAACCATTAGTGTGTACACCACAAAGGATCTCAGAGTGTCCTGTCACTCACAATGTGGCAGTCACTGATTTCAGTTATGAAAGAGATGGTGGTGATGGAAAGCGACATATTGTTGTGATGGACACTGATTTCAAGCAACTGTTTGTATATAGAGGTGACATCCCCAGTACATATAAACCAACACCACAAACAGGAGGTAGACCATTTATCCCCCATGGTGTGGTGTATGACAGTGTGGGGAACCTGATCATAGGGGACTATAACAACTACAGGGTCCTACTCATCAGTGGAGGTGGTGAAATCCTCAGGGTCATACACAAGGACACAGACTATACATGGGCTGTAGGTATAGACAGGGAGGATGTGCTGTGGGCAAGGTTTGGGTTAAACAAAGTCAAACTACTACGGTACAGCAGTATGTGACACCTGTAACCAAACAACTAGTATATCTAGTTACCATGACAGTGACATGGAAATCAGAGACAAAGGAAACTTATCATGATTACAAATCAACTAACAATGTGTGACATTCACAGGATTATAGGTAAAATGTCTAGACTACAGATTGTGAGACATTCACAGGATTATAAGTAATACGTCTAGACTACAGATTGTGAGACATTCACAGGATTATAAGTAAAATG